CTTGTGTCTTTATTTCAGTTTCTCATCTCCACACCAGCAGAGAGGGACTCACTGGACCCTGTAGGGTTGGACCCTATATGTTTATATATATATATGGTAAATATATCAAGAGACATTTGTATTTATATATATTTATATTTATATTTGTTGTTGTTACACAGCCAGCACCCATATAATACCATCACTTAGGGCAAAATAGAACATTGCAGCCCTCAGAAGCTCTTATATGCCTTTCTCTTTCTCCTGGAAGTAACCATTAATTTGACCCTTGTGATAATTGTTTCATCAGTTTTTCTTATTAAATCATCTCTATAAGGATTCTCAAACAACATAGTTCAGTGGGTTTTTTTCCCGTTTTGTACTTTATATGAAAGGAATCATACGGTTTATATTCTTTTGTATCCTGCTTCTTTTGCTCAACATAATGTTTGTGAATGCTTCAGTGTTGTATATAGCCATAGATCATTTTTATTGCTATATAGTGTTTCACTGAGTAGATCATAAACATTTTCTTTATCCTGGAATCCATTTCTTCATTCCCACTGTCATCCTCCTAATTCAAGCATTCAGTATATGATTTCTTATTAGTTAAATTATCCCAGTGATCCCTAACTGGTCTCCTCATCTCCAGGCTCTCTCTGACTGCCGGCAGAGTAATTTTTCTGAAGGTCAACACTGATCGTGTGCCTCCTGTTAAAAGTTGTTGTAAAAAGAGAGGAAGAAGAAAGGCTGGTGGTAGACAGTGACCACATTATTCAAGGCATTGGTGACCATTTTAAGGACTGTGGTTTTTATTCTAAAGACAATGGAAAGCCTTTTCTGGCTGATAGCTTTGACTTTCTAAGTTAGTTACTCCTACACCAGAGTCCCTAGATCATCAGCTTAGATCCTTTGGATAATTATGTCTGTCAGAATCCAACCACGTGTGCTAGGCCCTTATTATGCTCTGCATAGTCCCTTGGGATTGCTTAGGCTACTAGTTGAGTTCTGTCAGCCCTGACCCTGTTGGTTGCCAATTCTCTTTCATTACTCTGTAATGAACTGTTTATGCCTAGCATATCTCACAGATGAGGCCTTATAAGTTAATGCATTTCTGAATAAAATGTGATCACTTTTGATAGTACAATAGTGAACTATTGATTATGCTAAAAATGGCAAGTGAAAGAAAAAAATGGAATAACTAAGATTCATAAGATTTAGCACAAAATCTCACGTAAGTGCCCTAGGGTAAAGACATTACAAGTGTCTTAACAGACATCTCTGATTCATACCATTAAATATAATGAGAATCACAGAATGTTAGAGCAAGAGGAGGTATCTATAGTTATAGTTGTAGTTCCAGATTATAATTTTTCCCCCTCATTCTTGGTGTCATCTTACAGACTATAGCTTTAGTAGAGAGGTTGGCAAACTTTTTTTTTGTAAAGAGACAGGTAACAAATATTTTCAGCTTTGCAGACTATGTGGTCTCTGTCACAGCTACTGAACTCTCCTTTTGTAGGATGAAAGCAACCATATACAGTATGTAAATGATTGGATCTGGTTTTGTTCCAATAAAATTTTATTGGTGGTAGGCAAGATTTGACTTATGAACTGTAGTTTACCAACCCCTGCCTTAGTGTATACTTTCAGTCCTCATTGCTGTTTGTTTGTTGTTTTGGTTCATTCCTTAGTTTTTAAAAATTATGAACTAATTTACACTCAGCAAAATATAGCAGCTCTTGAGTGCAGTGTCTGATGAGTTTTTGACAAACTATTCACCTGTGTAACGCCACCGTCCTAATCAAGATATAGATTATTTCCATTGCCCCAGAAAGTGCCTTCATGCTCCTTCCCCATCAGTCCCCACCCCTGCCCCCAGAGGTTAAAACTGTTCTGATTTCTATATTCATAGAATAATTTTGCCTGCTCTTGAACTTCATATAAATAAAATTACACAGTGCATGTCTGAGTGTATAGCTTCTTTCACTCAACTTATTTATGAGAATCATCCATGTTGTTAACGTTTCAGTAGTTCATTCCTTTTATTACTGAGTAGCATTCCATTGCATGAATGTACCACAGTTTTATGAATATTTCTAGATTAGTTTCCTAGGGCTGCTTTAACAAATGACTACAAACATACTGGCTTAAAATAAAAAAAAAAGTTTGTTCTCTAATAGCTCTGGAGGCCAGAAGCCCAAAATTAGGGTGTTGGCAGGGCTGTGCTCCCTCTGAAGGTTCTAGGGGATAATCCTTTCTTGCTTCTTCCAGCTGCTGGTGATTCCAGATGTTCCTTAGTTTGTGACAGCATAACTCCATTCTCTGTCTCTGTCTTCATATGCCCTTCTTTCTTGTGTCTCTGTGTCTTTCTTATTTTCTATCTCTTATATAGACAGTGTCATTGGATTTGGTCCCCACCCTAACTAGGGATGATCCCATCTTAAGATCCTTAATTACATCTGCAAAAATCCTTTTCCTAAATAAGGACACATTCACAGGTTCTGGGTGGAATCTTTTAGATGGTCACTATTTAACCTACTATAATAATCATAATTTGCCAAGTCACCTAGTAATATACATCTGAAGTATTTCTTTCTTGTTGTTATGCATAAAGCTGCTATGAGTCCTATCATAAAGGGCTTTTTGTAGATTTGTTTTCAGCCTCATAGTTTTTGAATTCCAGTTTTAATTATCTTAATATAAAACATGATTAATTTTCTTTTTAGCAATAATATTTTTAATTTTGGCAGGAATTTCTGTAAGAATGGCTCAACCTGTATACATCTAACTTAGATATTTTGTACAACTGAAAATATAATAATGCCAAGAGATATGACATAGAATTCTACTATCTTCATTTTTCTTTCTCAAGCTACTATCAAGAAATGAACAAGTTCCATGAGACAGTGCCTTTAACTCCTTAAAATACCAGGAGTACCTGATCAAAGTAAAAAAAAAGCAAACAAACAAAACAGAACAAAACAAAAAAGACAATTTGACTCCATTATGTGTTTTGTTTTGTTGTGATACTTTATTAGTACTTGCAACTAACACCTAGGCTAAATTTGATACATGTATCTCATATGGGAATGACTAATACTGACCTTCCACTGTTGTGGAATTTAAATGCAGCTCCTTAATAAACAACCAAATAGCCATTCATCTTGGCTGCCCTCCCACCCTTGGATTCTGATAGCCCTGACTACTACTGGTTATCTGGTTTAGAGGCTTTTCGAATGTATTTAAGTGTATGTGTCTGAATGTCACTTTGCAATGAAAGCTTCTTAGAGAGCAGGAACTTGGTCTCATTTATCTGTGTATCCCCCAACTCTAGGCCCAGCTCAGTGCTTTCTTAATCTTACAAGTGGTTCCTGACTGAATAGTACCTGTGAATAAAAAATAAGGAAGAGAGTATCTTATTTCATAGTAAAGTAATTCCACTAATGTGGAACAATTCTAGCTAATGAAATTTTTAGAAATAGCTTTAATGAATGATTCCTTTTTTTAATCACCTAGAAAGTCTCTATGGTTATTATTTATTATGCTAGTGGTTCCTTATTCAATATTTGTTTCCTTTGCTCACAATTCTAAGAACTGGTGATTGGCTTCACTACTCATTTACAAAAGCAATTTAAAACACTTCTCAGGCCCTGTTGACACTTGGCAAATCTAACAGAGAAAAGCATAGTATTCTCATTATACTTTTTAGACAGCTTTAAAACATGGTCCTGTAAATGGTCTGGAGGTTTTTTTAATGGGCACAGAATTATGTAATATGCTTTGTCATTACCACTCCAGTCTTTTGCAATATCTACAAATTGAAAATCTTATTTAATTGTTTTAGAAAAGGATAGACACAGCTTCATTATTTAGAATACAATTACTTTGAAACTTTTGGGTAAATAAATTTGGAAGTTTCAAATAATTCTAATTTCCATGTTACTTTATTCTGTTCCTTTATTTCCCTTTTGGTTTTAATAGCTCTACCTCTGAAATCAGAATTGACAAACATATCCTATTGAAACCATAGTTTCTTCATTTTTGACACAATATCCACAGGATGAGGTGTAACAGAAAAGACAGTGAAGATTATAACAACAAAGCCACATGCTAGATAGTGTAATTTACGATAAATATGTTAAAGACACATAATGCTGTTTTCAGAAACACAATTTAAAATCAAATAGGCATTTTAAAGTCATTTCATGTTTGGCATTATTTACCAGATAATATTATTAGCCAGGATTTCTAAGATACCTTCCACTAGTTCAGGAATATTTTCAACTGTAAGTAACAGAATAACAGACTAATAGATCTTAAGCAAGAGGAGTTTGTCTAACAAGAGATAGGTGCTTTCTGGCATTGGTTTAGCGACTTAATGTGAGGGTTCTGGATTGGTATCTCTGTGATTTCCTTTGCTTTCTCTTCCTAGTCACAAGATGGATGCAAAAGCTCCAGGCACCAAAATTTTCAAACATAGGAAGCAGGAGATATAACTGGACAGAGCTTTCTGCTGTTTTTTTTTTTTTTTTTTTTTTTAACTAGGAAAGACATATCTTTTTCAAATCATCCATCAAATAGATTTCCCCTTGCATTTCATTGACCAGAATGTATTACATGACTATCTCTAGCTATGAAGGAGGCTGGGAACCTCTGTAATTAGAAGGAGGCAAGGAAGAAGGGGTTGGGAATGACTTTTGGGTAACCAATCACATATTGCACATACTAGGTGTTTGGTGACTATATGTTAAGTTATCCATACTCTTAAACAGAGTGAACGTTCAGGTATACGTCCACCCCTTCATTATCTTTCCTATCAAATTTATATTTTATTTTCCTCATTTGTTCAGAAACAGAAGTTCTTATTGTACTACTACTTTTTAGCAAACATTTAGTATCCATGATATGGAATACATTAGGATTTATTCTGAGACTAGAGAGAGAATTAGGAAAGGCTTTATATAAGATATTTATCCATTCATTCAATAAATATTTATTGAGTACCTATTATCTTCCAGACACCGTTCTAGATTTTTGAGGCATCTGTGGACAAAACAAAGCACCCTGCCTTCAAGAGAGCCCACATTCTAACAGAACATATTGACATTTTTAAAAGGTAAGTAGGATTTTTATAAATTTGATGAGGGGGAATTACATTTCATTCAAAGTGAACAAACAGCATGAGCAAAGATAAGGACTTGTGCGTAGGCATGTCCTGTTTGTGGAGTACCAAGTAGCTCCATGAAGTGTAGAACACATGGTGAGGACTGAAAGGGCAGTTTACTGTCAGGTCATGACCAGGAAAATGTGAGTTCTTCCAGATCAGAATTAGCATCTTGCAAAGTTAGTACTGAAGCTTAGTAGACATCTTCACCTGGAGGACCTACAGCCACTTCGAATTATCATACCCAAAATAGACTCGGTATATTAATACTTCTCCTGAAACTTGTGCTTCTCCTTTATTTCATAACTTGGTAAATGGCACTGCTATTTTTTTGCTTTAGGCCTTCACCATTTCTCACCTGGGCTATTGCCATTATTTCCTACCTGTAGTCCCACACTCCTTGAATCCAACTCTCAAATTGCCAAGTGATTTTGGCTGGGCATAGTGGCTCATGACTGTAATCCCAGCACTTTGGGAGCCTAAAGTGGGAGGATCACTTAAGCCCAGGAGTTCAAGACCAACCTGGGCAACATACTGAGACCTCATATCTACAAAAAATTTTTTTCAAGTTAGCCAAGTGTGGTGTTGTGTGCCTGTAGTCCCAGCTACTTGGGAGGCTGATGTGAGAGAATCACTTGAGCCCAGCAAGTCAAGGCTGCAGTGAGCTGAGACTGCCCCACTACACTCTAGCCTGGGCACCAGAGTGAGACCCTGTCTAAAAAAAAATAAAGTGATTTTTTCCTAATATTTACATAACCCAGAAGTTAGATGGAGGACATAGATTATGGAATATCTGTAAACTTGAGGGACGGGGTCCTGTAGAGGGAGAAACTATTTGCATTAGTTTTCTATTGCCATGTAACAAGTTACCACAAATTTAGAGTGGTTTAAAACATCATACGTTTATTAATCCACAGTTTCTGTGGGTCAGGAGTCACAGGCACAGTTTAGCTGGGTTCTTTGCTTAAGGTTTCACAAGGCTGCAGTCAAAGTGTGGACAGGCAGAATGGCTATTATTAAAAACTTGAAAAAAACCAACAGATGTTGGTGAGGCTGAGGAGAAAAGGGAATGCTTACACACTGTTGGTGGGAATGTAAATTCGGAATGTTCAGCCACTGTGAAAAGCAGTCTAGAGATTTCTTAAATAACTTAAAACAGAACTACCATATGACCCAGCAGTCAATGGGTATATATTCAAAAGAAAGCAAATCATTCTACCAAAAGGACACATGCACTACCTGTTCTGTTCATCACAGCACTATTCATAATAGCAAAGACATGGAATCAATCTAGATGCCCATCAATGGATGGCTGGACAAAGAAAATGTGGTACATATACACTGTAGAATGGTGCCATAAAAAAAGAAAACCATGTCCTTTGCAGCAACATGGATGGAGCTGGAGGCCATTATCCTAAGCAAATTAACTCAGGATCAGAAAACCAAATACTGGCCAGGCATCCCTCACTTTGGGATGCTGAGGCAAGAAGATCATTTGAGTTCAGGAGTCCGAGATCAGCTTAGGCAACATGATGAAACCCCGTCCCTTCAAAAAAATACAATTAGCTGGGCATGCCTGTAGTTCCAGCTACTCAGGAGACTGAGGTGGGAGGATCACCTGAGCGCAGGGAGGTTGAGGCTGCAGTGAGCCTTGATTATGTCACTGCACTCCAGCCCGGTTGACAGAGCGAGACCCTGTCTCAAAAACAAAAAGAAAACCAAATACAGCATGTTCTCACTTATAAGTGGGAGCTAAACATTAAATACACATGAACACAAAGATGAAAACAATAGACACTGGGGACTCCAAAAGCGGGAGGGAAAGTGGTGGACCAGGGATGAAAAGCTGCCTATTGGGTACTATGCTCAGTACTCAGGTGACAGGGTCTTTCATACCCTAAACCTCAGCATGAAGCAATATACCCAGGTAAAGATACCTGGTATCTTATGAGGCATGTGTACTCCCTGACTCTAAAATAAAATTTGAAAAAAAAAAAAAAAAGTGTAGACAGGACTCTATTCTCATCTGGCTACTTGACTGAGAAATAATCTGCTTCCAGATTCACACAGGTTGTTGGCAAACTTCATTTTCTTGTGTTGGTAAAGCTGAGAGCCCCAGCATCTTTCTGTCTATTGGCTGGAGGCTGCCCTTAGCACCTGGAGGCCACCGATAGTTCCTGGAGGCTACTTACACATGGCCTTTTCCAACTTGGCTTCTTACTGCATCAGACCAGTGAGGAAAGTCTCTAGAGTGAGTCTGTGAGCAGGACCAAGCAATGTAATCATGGGAGTGACATCCCATCACCTTTGCCATATTTTATTAGCTATAAACAAGTTACAGGTCCTGCCCACACTCAGAGGTATGAACACCAGAGATGTGAACACCAAGAGACAAAGATCATGGGGAGCCACCTTATGTGAAATGTTTCTTACAACATTTTCATAGTCTTCTCTGTCCTTGATGTCTGCTTCATGAGTATAATCTCGGGGCTTGATCTTGAAGTAAAGCCTGGTTTCTGTCAACAAACAAATCAAAAAAAGAACCACTCAAAGCATTTTTAAGTTAATATTTTGTAGAAGATACAGGGGCCCTCTGCCTTTGGCAATTTTGTTGGTTTTTCTCACTTCTATCCCATTTTTCTACAGTTGTCCCAGGAAATTCCTTCTCCCTCTGGAAAGGACAGCAATCCAGCTTTTCTACGCTTCCACTCACAAACATGTACAGCCAAATCGTTTCAGGGCTCAGCAGAACAAATTTAGTCCATACTGTTTAGAAAGCAGTAGGGATTAAAATAGAAAAGCTTTTCCCCATGTTATATCCAAATTTGATCCTGTTTCTCCTTTGCTTAAAAAGCCCTTTAATCTTTGCTTCCCTATTGCTACATAATAGGTATAAAAATATGGAATAAATTTGAATTCCCAAGTATGACATGTGAGACCTTCCCTGATTTGGTACTTGCCTTGTTTCTGGTCACCCCTATCTTGTACTATAAAATTTGTACTTGCCCACATTTTAGAGAATTATTTTATAGCTTGCTTCATGGTTCAGAAATGTGACTCTCACTGTTCTTTATCCCTCCAGTGCCAGCCGTCTTCCTCCCTTTCTGTCACTCCCTCCTCTAGACATCTATTGTAATATTATTTCCTCTAGGAAGCTTTTCCTGTCTTCTTATTTTGTAAACTCACAGCACCTGGTTTGAACTGATATTAATATCTGTAACACTTCTATAAACTTGTTTATATGCCTGTATCTTTTTACAAAACTATAAACCTCTTAAAGAGGTTGTCCTATCACAAAGATAAATACAGATTCAACACAGCAGGACAGAGGTGATAGCTGGAGTGTATATTTGAAAGTAATTAACATATAAGATGGTATTTAAAGTCATGGAAGTAGACAAGATCATCCAGAGGAAAACAGAAGAGGGCAGAATAAAGCAGCATAGAACCTCTAATTAGGATGCCCAGTGAAGTATAAAACCAACTTCTGTTTGCAGGTCACCAGGTCTTTAGGTGCTATTTGTATATTGCTTATTTTTTAAATTACTTTTTATCTTGACTAAATAGATTAGCCAAATGTTTGTTGTAGAGTAGTTTGGATTCTCACTGTAGTCTAAATAAGGTATACAATGAAAAATTTCATTTAAGGAAAGAATATTCTCATGAAGGAATTAATTTTAAGGAAACTCAGATAAAATATTCTCTATGTTTTATAATTTGAGCAACTTAAATAATTTTCAGCCTCCTACCAGTTTAATTTCAGTGAATTCCTGTCCTAAATAGCATTTCTATTATACAACACAACATATAAACTTAAAGCCTTGTGGCCTAACTTATTTTCTTGAAATGATGAGCCCTGAGTGAATTAAAGGTCTTAATGTTCAGTGGTAAGAGCTCCATTTCTCCAGATTTTATGTAGTCACTCTTTGTAATAGCTACACTGAATAACATATGAATAGGTACAATATCAGTATGTACACTGAATAACATATGAATCTGTTATTGCCTTTGTTGGTTTGATTGTTTTCTGACAGATGGCTTCCATAAGATATTTGTAAACTTCATCAACCTAGTATAATGTCACTTTCTCAGATTTAATTTTTGGTTTTAAAAACACTATAGTTTAGAATTAAATTGCAATCCAAACTCATCTTAGTTTTAATCTTCAAGTTCTTTCATATAGAGCAGTCTTATATTTAGTATTCCTTCCTTCAAGACAGGTTTATTGCTAAAATTACAATTTGAGAAGTGCGACAAATTGTTGTGATAAGACTTTGAGGGGGAAGACATACTTATAATGGTTTTAAATTTATTAACTTCTTCTGCTAATATGTTTGTGACAGATTAGTAAAAGTGTTTTATATATTTTTAAGAATAGAGTTTTATGTTAATCCATTTGCATTGCCATAAAGAAATACCTGAGTAATTTATGAAGAAAAGAGGTGTGACTGGGTAATTTATGAAGAAAAGAGGTATGACTGGCTCATGGTTCTGCAGGATGTACAAGAAGCATGGTACCAGTATCTAATTCTGGTGAGGGCCAGAAGCTTCAAATCATGGTGGAAGGCAAAAGGGGAGCAGGCATATCACATGACAAGAGTAGGAGCAACAGAGAGAGACAGGGAAGGTATCACACTCTTTTAAACAACCAGATCTCATGTGCTCAGAGCTGGAACTCTCTCATTACTTCAAGAATGGCGCTAAGCCATTCATGAGGGATCCGCTCTTACGGTCCAACACCATCCTCTAGGCCCCTGCTCCAACAACGAGGGTTAGATTTCTTTTCCTTTACTTTTTCTTTTTTTCTTTTTTTTCCTTTTTTTGAGACAGGGTCTCACTCTGTCACTCAGGCTGGAGTGCAGTAGTATGATCTTGAATCATGCAACCTGTGCCTCCTGGGCGCAAGTGGTTCTCTCACCTCAGGCTGCCCTGGGATTACAGATGCT